CTGCGCCACCCGAGCCCGGGCCGCCTCCGTCGCCAGGGCCGGGGCAGCAGCGGGCCGGGGGCGGGTCCGCCACCGACCATGCGGGGCAAGCTCTGGCTCCTGGTGCTGGTGCTCAGGGGGGCTGCCCGGGCGCTCAGCCCCCAGCCCGGAGCAGGTAGGACTGGCCGGAGTTGGCCCGGGTGGCCGGGGGGCGGGGAGGGGCAGGCAGGCGTGGGTATGGGCTGGACCGACAGGCGGGCGAGGTCGGGAAAAGGGGTATTGTCCGCGGGAGGGCAGGAGCCCTGTGGCCTGTGGCAGGTGGACAGGGACCCCACTTTGCCAAACACAAAGGGTATGTGAGCGAGCCTGCAGGCATCAGACGCTGGTGCCCCAGCCTCTCCTCCCCTCCTGGAAGGACACTGGAGGGACCCCAGTAGAGGGACTCCAAAAGGCAGTGGGCTCTGGCCCCGGAGGAGACAGTGGGAGAGTCATAGAAACCCCTGGTCACCTCGGGCGAGGCTGAGTTCTGATGAGATGCGGAGCCTGGGGCGCCTCCTGCCCCAGCTTTGCCTCGTCTTTCCCCCACCCCAAGCTGACCAGGTTGGATCTGAGTCAGAGTTGGGGGCTGGGTGGGAGCAGCCAGGAGGATGATGGAGACCCAGTATCTCTCTCCCCGCGAGGACGGTAGCCACCTGACGCCTTCCTCACTGTTTGATACCTGGAGAGCAGTCCTGGGCCCAGGAAGAAGCAACTTGCTGCTCCCCAACCCCCCAGCCTCCAGGGTCCTCCTGTCACTCCTGCTCTGCTCTGCCCTGGTGAACCTTGGCCTTTAGCTGCTCTGGCTCTAGATGGGGGGGGCTCCTATCCTGCACACTCCTCTTCCCCTACACCAGTTCTCAATCATCTCTCCCACCTGGAAGTCCTTTCTGAGATCTACTTTGAGTCCCCCATGTTATAAAAGGAGAACTATTTTTCAACACATAATTTTACATTCTCTTCCTTTCTCCTCATGCACCCAGACATTCTCTGGGGTTGGGGAGGTGGGTAATTTGCCATCAAGCCTCTTGACAGAGAGAATTGGGGAGATAGTGCTCTATGCCTCGCTAGCACAGATGACCCTCAGATGGGATGGAGTGGGTGGGGGTGTTGGCAAGGGTGATGCTGTGGTTGGGCTGATGTGTCTCAGGGGTGTGCTGGCATCAGGCACAGCACCAGTAACAGCATTCTTGACTTTAATGGTCCCTGTATGTAGCTGAGAGGCCTGGGTCCTTGTTGAGAAGGAGGGTGGGGAAGGGTGCTGATGGTGGGGGTGTGGGCAGAGAGCAGTGGCAGTTATTCTGGCAAGAGGCTGCTGGTGCAGAACCACCAGTTTTCTGGGGGACCACCCAGAGAGAGGCCAGATACTTGGCTTCTAGTCCCAGCATCTCACTTGCTGTGTGACCTTGAGCAAGTTACTTCCCTTCTCTGGGCCTATTTATAAGTGAGGACTTATAGAGTGAGGCCATGGGCAAAATCTTTGACTCTTGGTGGCGGGATCATGAGAGATCTTTTTTCTTTTTTATTATTGTCTTTCCTTTTCAGGTTTGTTATGATGTGTATGGGTAATTGATAATTTTTAAAAAATCACTATAAAAAGGAAGGGGTTGGGGGCCGGCCCGGTGGCACAGGCGGTTAAGTGGGCGTCCTCCACCACGGCGGCCCGGGGTTTGCTGGTTCAGATCCCAGGCACGCACCGACACACCGCTTGGCAAGCCATGCTGTGGCGGCGTCCCGCGTAAAGTGGAGGAAGATGCGCATGGATGTTAGCGCACGGCCGGTCCTCCTCGGCAAAAAGAGGAGGATTGGCAGATGTTAGCTCAGGGCCGATCTTCCTCACACACACACACAAAACACAGAAAGGGTTGGGCAGGTCTGTTTTTGAGGCCCTCTGCAGCCCCAGCTTGGTGGGATCTTCTGAACTCGAGATGTGACTAGGTTGATGACAGAGGGCTCTGAACCCCTGATTGAGTTGGGAGAACCACGGAGATGGTTGGGGAAGGGGCACTGGGGTGTCACAGGGATGCGCTGAGGGCTGCCTCTTCAGAGTCGGGCTGGGGTTGTAGACACCTGGGGAGGCCAGGCAGAGGGGCAGCAGAGACTTGAATCACATCTCTAAGTAGAGGGCACCCTGTGTTGGCTTTGACAGAGATTCAGCTGGGAGAAATGGACCTTCTCTGCAGCGGGAAAGATTACTTAGAGCTAAGGAAGCTTCAGGAAGCCAGAGGGGGCAGCTGTTGACTCGCAGTCCAGTGGTTTTTTCACAAGGTCAGGCTGGCTGTGAGGGAAGGCCTGTGTGGAGGCAGGGGGGTCTTCTGGGGAGGACAGATGTGGGCGTGGGACATTCTGGGGAAGGGCCGCTAAGGAGGGACAGCCTGGATCTAGTCGGTAGTGGAGCCCTTGTGACCAGTGAAAGGGCAGCAGGAGATGGCCCTGAAGGGGTGCTGCCATCCAGCCCCAAGGCTCCGAGTCCTCTGGGCCGGGGGGCCTCAGGAGGGAGCTGAGATCTCCCCTCCCTCCTGGTGGATCGGATGGTCTGGTGGAGCTTTGAAACTTCATCCATCGTTAAAATGGGACCAGGAGAGAGAAGATGAGTGACCCAAAGATATAGTCAAGGGGCGGGGAGACCAGGAGAGGCTGACAGACAGACAGATGAACAGACAGGAAGATGGCCTCGGGTGCACAGAGCGAGCGGGGGCACCGAGGGTCTGGCCCAGGTGGAACCAGAGGTGCTAAAACAGACCTAGAAGGAAGAAGCAGCTGGAGGGGGCGTCCTGGCCTGGGGGTCAGGAGAGCAGGCCCAGCACCAACCTCTGGTGACCCTGGCACTTCCTCCTTTCTCTGAGCCTTGGTTTCTCCTTCTGTAAAATGGAGTTTGGACCAGATTGTCTCTAGGGCCTCTTGTAGCCATGATTCTGCTTCCAGCCTCCTCCTCGCCCACCAGGAACTTCCAAATAAACCGAGACTAAAACACAAACTTCTTACAGCGGTCATCAGACAGCCTCTCCCCCACCCTCCACACCTGCCCTCCCTCTCCCCATGTCCATCCCTCAACACATTCAGGCTGCTGTCCCCTCAGATCTTCAGGGAACTGGCTTCTCACCCAGGTCTCAATCAGCTCAAGGGCCACCTCCTCAGGGAGGCCCACCCTGATAGCTCTGTCTAGAGCAGCAAGTACTCCCAACACTTTCGTCTGTCTTATACCTTCATAGAGCTTATCACGACCTCACATTGTCTTATTTGTTGCATTATTCATTTTGTCTGTGTCTCTCCCAACTAGAAACTTCATGGGCACAGAGATTGTGTCTGCCTGTTCACTGTTGCCCCAGCACCCAGCACAGTGGGTCTCACAGTAGGGTCTCATTAAATGTGTATTGAATGAGTGAATGAATCAGAGGTGGTCTCAGACTCCAGACTCTCCCCTCGAGAGAAACTCAGAGAGCCAAACTCTTCTTCTCTCTTCTCTTCTCCTCTGAGCTACGTGGTGGTCCCCTCCTGCCAGTTCCTCATGCCTCCCTCCCTCTGCCCAGATGAGGGTCCTTGGTGGGAACCTGCATGCCGGCAGGAGGGGAAGAGGTGCAGTTGGGGGCTTTGTAACTAGGAGGGAGGATTTCAGCTCAGGGTCTGGAGCTTTTCTCAAGCCCCTCGGAAAGTCGGTCCTCATGGGAAACATGGGGAAGACGGGAGGACTTTGCTGGGTGCTTTGTGTACATTATTTTGTTAAAGATTCAAAAGGACCTACCAAGTGTAGGTTTTATCATCCCCATTTTACAGATGAGGAAACTGAGGCTTAGAGACATTATGCAGTTTGTCCAACGTCACCCTCAGTAAGTAGTGGATTCAGGGTTCAATCTCGAGCTCGTATGACTCCAACCTTCTGCTCTTTTATTGCTGTGATATTACAGTGAGGGTTTCCAGTGGGGCTGTGCCTCAAGGGAAGGGTCTGCTCAGCCCTGTGGATCTCAGGTACTCAGGGCATTTAAAGATGCCCTTCTCCCTCCCTCCCTCCTTCCTCCCTTCCTCCCTTCCTTCCTCCCTTCCTTCTTCCCTCCCTCCCTCTCCCTTCTTTCCTCCCTCCCTCCTTCCTCCCTCCCTTCCTCCCTTCCTTTCTTCCTTCCTTCTTCCCTCCCTCCCTCCCTCACTCTCCCTTCTTTCCTCCCTCCCTCCTCTCTCCCTCCCTTCCTCCCTTCCTTCCTTCCTCCCTTCTTCCCTCCCTCCCTTCCATTATCCACGTGTGCTTACTGAGCATTTGCTCTGTGTCAGGCACCTGGAGCCTGCAGATGCACAGGCAGCAGTGATATGTCAGGATCAGGGCCAGGATAGGTGCGTGTAGCATTTGGGACAAGGGGGAGAGATGTCAGGGATGCACTGGGAAGAAGTGACATCTCGTGAGACTTGAAGGATGAGCAAGAGCTCCTCAGAAGAAGGGTTTCTTTCAGGAGCAGAGTAGTCCTGGCTGAGAAAACTGCACATGTGAAGCCCCTTGGCCAGAGAGAACAGGGCTGGGTCCTGGAGAGGGCTTTAGGGAGACAGGAGGCTGGAGGAAAGAGCCGAGATCCGGTCACGAAGGGCCTCGAATGCCGGGTGGAGGAGCTGGGCCTTCAGCCCGAGGGCTGTGGCAAGCTGGAAACATGGGAGGGGTAGAATCAAGTTTGTCCTCTAGATGGGATGCTCTGGCGGGAGACCAGCTGGAGGGCATTAGGGTGGAGGCTAGAGTAGCTGCTGGACTGAGAGGTGCCCTGGGACTGGAATGGCAAGCTGGGGTGATGGGTGGCATGAGGTGGCTGGGCCCAGGTGCTGGGGTGGCACGATCTGGCCTCCCGAAGTCAGCCCATTGCTTCTTGCCCCAGAGCAGGGCAGTGGCACGTGAAGAGGGTGGGGACACTACTGCTGGGTTGCCCCCCTGCATGCCGGGGGCCCAGCCTCCCAGGGCAGCTCCCAGGGTCAGGCCCACTGGCACCCAGTGAGCCCAGCTCACAGCCACTCCGGTCCTTGGGCTGCCCCTGCTCCTTAGGAAACAGCCTGGAGGGGCTGGTCACCTCTTGTTGCACTTGCTGTGGTCTGAGCAGACGCCGGAGCCAGCCTGTCTGAGTGCAAATCCTGCCACGGACTACTTGAGTGACCTTGAGAGGTTCTTTACCATCTTTGCGCCTCAGTTTCCCAATTTGTACAATAGATCTAAAACTAGCACCTACCTCATGGGGTATTGTGGGGATTAAATGCGTTACTGCATTTAAAGCACTTGGAATAGTGCCGGCACAAGTAAGCATTCTCTCAAAGTGTGCTGTCATTTTTATGATTACTGTCACTATTGTGACGTCCCACTAGACTGGATGCTACTTGGGGCTATGGGTGAATGAATGGATGAATGAATGAACAGGGTGTGCTCTGGCAGCTTCTTGCTGTCCCTCACCGGCAGGTACACTCCCATGCAGAGGTGTGGAATGGGTGCTGGGAAGATGGAGCTCTCCCCTGCAAGGCAGAAGGTAGAGCAGAGAGTGGCCGAGGGTTAGATAGGTGTGTAACACGTGTGTGAGCACACAGAGAGGAGGGCCAGGGCCTTCAGGCAAGTCTATGTGTGTATGTGCGTGCACAGGCACGTGAGCAACCAGCTGTATTGGCTCCTTCCATGGCTGAGGGGGTGATGTCCTGTCCTAGCCAACCCGGAGGGGGAGGGGTGGCAGGGAGACAGACGTGGTGTGGGTTGGGAGGGCAAGATTCAGGGCTAGGCTGGGGTAGGGCAGGTGCCTCGGCAGCCTCCCTCTCTATCCCTCGGCCTGCTCTCCTTCATGGAGTCGCCTCTGACCCCAGCCCCGAGCCCTCTCGTTATAAAGCTGCTTCTTTTTGTTTCTCATTTGGTGCTCGTGGCAGCCTGTGCCATGGGCGTGATTGTCATCCCCATTTTAGTGATGAGGAAACTGAGGCTCAGAGAGGTAAACTGATGGGTCTGAGGTTGCATAGCTTGTGGGTGCAGGTGCCCCCTCCTTGACCCCTCTTCTGGCTGGCCCCCCTTCCCTGCCCTCTCCCCAGGCCTCGGGCCCCCACCGTCCAGGCACCCTCCTGTCTCAGTTGCAGGACTGTGATGCCTGCGGATCTCCAGCATCCCTTTCCGGGCCAGCTAAGATCCTCTACTTGCTCTGCACACGTTCCTTCCTGTTCTGGCTTAAGCCCAGGCCCGAGGGCTGCTTGCAGGAGGACCTGGGAAGCCGAGTAGATCAGCCCGACACAAACAGTTCTGTCTCCAGAGGCAGCTGTGGGCCCCACCCGAGAGGGGGCAAGACGGCCCTGGCTTGGGGTCTGAGCTGGGGGCAGGCTGCTTTCCTAGCCCTGGGCTCAGGTCCATCTCAGCCAGTGGGCATCTTGGGGAAGGCGTCTGGGGACTGCCCCTCTCCCTACCTTCTCCAGAGCATCTGGTTGAGATTAGAGGCGGAGAAGTGAGAGGGGGCCGGCAAGGGTCCAGCAGGCACCAGCAGCCAAGAATGACTTAATTGGATAAAATGTCTAATGACAAACCAGGGCCCCACAGCAAAGAGTCCTGGCCCCAGCCCCAGGCCTGGTCCTGGCCAAGCCTTTTCTCAACCTCTGTCCTTGCTGGCTCCCAAGAGTTACCTCCAGTATCGTGTCCTCAATTTTGTAGTGATTGAGCACCTACTGTTTGCTAGACACTGAGGATATACAGTTGTAGAAGATAGGGAGGGTCCTGGGGGAACCCAAGTTCACCAGGGAGACGGGCGGATAATTACAACACCAGGAGAGAGGGCTACATTCAGGAGCTCTGGGGAGTGGGTGGGGGCAGGCAGAGGTTGAGAAGGCATCCGACACAGGGTGGGCCTGAAATTGATGAAGAGCACAGGGCGTATCAGACCCACCTCTCTGGTGGTCTGTGTCCCATATACACGTCCATAGTAGGTGTGACAATATAAGACATGTCTTTGGGGGCACGAATCTTTCTAAAATGGAAAAACATGGTTTCTATGTCATTTAGAATAAATTTAACAACCTAGAGGGAACTAGAGAGAACATCGAGTCTAGGAATGGCTGCTAAGTGGCCTGTGTGTGGCTGCTTTCCAATCCTGTGCCCATGGCAGACCTTGCTAATTGATCTTGACAATCTTTCCTGCTAAACACAAAGGAAGCCTCAGAATTCATCTCAATTAGAGTGCTTCTGGCTGTCACTAATCGATTGCAGATGGCTTTTGAGATGAAACCTATTTGCCATCCTTGATGGTGTGTAAGCTCTTTGTTTCATGGGGAGAATGACTTGCCCGAGTGTTTAAAGGTAGTGATAAGACTAAACAGTGGTCTCCCCTATGGAGACATCTTGGATTGTCACAACCTGGGGGGAGGTATACTGGCATCTGGTGGGCAGAGGCCAGGGATGCTGCTAGACATCTTACAATGCCCAGGACAGCCCCCAAAACAAAGAGTTATCCAGTCCGAAATGTCAGTAGTACCAAGGTTCAGGAGCCCTGAACTAAAAGAACTCAGCTCTCTGACCTCTAGTCCCTGGAGTCCCCTGGAAGGTAAGATTATTTGCCATTTCTGGCGGGGAAATAAGGAACTGATTTGGAATGTTCCAGAGCAATGGCTCTCACCCTTGTCTACAGAGTTAGGTCCAGGGCTTCTCAAAAGCTCCCCTGGGGATCGTTTAAGAATCCTAATGCCCTACCACACCACAGAACAATCGTATCTGAATCTCTGGAGTGGGATCCAGACATCAGGAATTTTTAAAGCTCCCTGGATGATTGCAGTGTGCAGCTGAGGTTGAAAATAATCACCCCTTTGGAGTTTTGAAACTTATCTGCATCCCTAACCCACCGTGTGACCTTCTTTAACCTCTGTGAGCTGCTGAATCCTGTCTGCAAAGTGGAGAGCATCATATCTTCTGTGGAGGGCCAGGGTGAGGACTAAAATTGTTACGTGTGCAAAGTGCTTGGTGCGGAGCCAGGCAAATGGCTCTCGGCGCATGTTGTGTGTCACCTGTCCTGGTAGTCAGTGTCCCCAAAGTCAATGATGGCATAGGGTCGGGGCCTCTGCAGAGTAAGTGGACTGGTCCCCCTTCTGGATCTTCACTTTGGACTGCCAGGACTCATCTGTCTGTCCCCTTCTTCCAGGTCAGGATGCAGACCGAGGCTCTGGATGGTTCACGCAGAGCTGGAATCGGAGAGCCCGAGAGAGCCCTGGGCAGGTGTCAGAGCCGGACAGGACCCAACTGAGCCAGGACCTGGGTGGAGGCACCCTGGCCATTGACACACTGCCCGACAACGGGACCAGGGTGGTGGTGAGTGCTGGAGGAACGTGGAGGGGGAGGGAAGTGGTGGTGGGGATCTCCCCAGGTGTCCCATGTACGCTCGTCAGACACACAAATCACATATACTTTGGGGTTGGCCCTGGAGGTCAGCGTGGAGAGAGGGATCCCAGGGATCCAGGATGCACAGCATGTCCACAGGCTTCCTGACACTGGACTTGTCCACTGCCTAGGGCCTCCACTAAAAGCTGGATGAAGGTGGCATTATTAGTCTCATCCAGCTGCCGGCTCTGGCCCCTCCCCCACCTCATTTCTGCACAGACTATGTGGCCCCAAAGGGTTAATGGTTGCAGAGGCTTGAGCTGCTCAGCCTGAGGGCAGGGCACTCTAAGTGGAGAAGGCAATTAAGGTGAAGCTCCGGGAGAGAACCTCCGCTGCCTGGGGCAGTTCTGGGGGTGCGGTGCAGGGAGGCGGGGGATCAAGGCCTGGAGGGAGGCAGTGCCCTCCTTGCAGTGTCTGGCTCTGCTCCCCAGCCAGCTTCCTGGGAGACTGATGGAGGCCTCTGTGTGTCTATGGGTGAATCTATAATTGTGTGTGCATGTCAGAGAGAGTGCATTTGTACGTGTGTCTGAGGGTTTTTGTGTATTACGTACATTCGCCTGTGTGTCTGTCACCGTGGGCTGTGTGTGAGTGTCTGTGATGAGTGAGTCGGCGTGTGTGTGTGACTGAGTGTGCTCATGGCCGTGTGTGGAGAGGGTGGATTCTCAGGATGCAGAAAAACTATGAAACAAGAAGAAGCAACAAGAGGCTGTGTTTCTTGGCATATATTTCTTTATGTTTTAATAATGATTTTTTTTTTTTAAATCAAAGAAGTGCATGCAGGTAGTCAAAAAGGTCAAATAGTGCTAAAAGCAGAAAATGAAACACCACAGTCCCGCCTGCCCGGCCCCTCCTGCCCGCCCCTCACTCAGGAGGTGCCACTTTGGCCGTTTCTCCTGGCTGTTGCCTCCATATTTCTAAGTAATTCGCTTATATCGCTGCCTCTTGATTAATCCGTTTAGACCTTATCTGTTGACTGCCTGCTGTGTAGATGAAGATTTACCTTTTATATAGTACTGCCCCGAGCATCCTTTTACACACTCAATGTTTTTGTTAAATCCATGTGTTCTGCTTTGTATCATTATAATAGTGTACACATTTTTCACCAGGAATCCAAGCAGGGTAATAACGTTGTTGACTTTCTTGTATGATTTTTGTTTTTCCTGAATCCTTGCCCCGCACCCCCACGCCCCCACCACTTGTGTAGTTCTCTGTACTTACAGTGGCTATATTCTTACACATCCATTGGCCTCAAATTACAATTTTGGGTGTGGTCAAATCTGTCAGTTCTTTTTTTTCCCCCTGGAAACCTCTCTCCTGCCGGCCTGCTGCAACCTGGCCTGGCTGCTGGCTGGCCTGCCCCGCAGCCATCCTGGGATCCCCCTTTCCTTCTTCCTTGGAACAGGACCACCTGTTCTCCTGATCCTATGTCTTCTCTTTCCTGCCCCACTGCTGGTTTGTTTAGCTTCCTGAGAAGGGTTACACAGGAGGACAGATTCTTCTGAGAGCTTGCACATTTTAAAATGCCTCCATTCTGTCCTCACACTGGATTGATGGTTTGGCTGAATTCTAGATTAAAAATAATTTTCCTTCAGAAGTTGGCAGGCATCTCACCATTGTCTTCTGGCTTCTGATGTCACTGTTGGGAGACTTGATGTCACTCTTTTTTTTTTTTTTTTAAAGATTTTATTTATTTATTTTTTCCCCCCAAAGCCCCAGTAGATAGTTGTGTGTCATAGCTGCACATCCTTCTAGTTGCTGTATGTGGGACTCGGCCTCAGGATGGACGGAGAAGTGGTGCCTCGGTGCGCGCCTGGGATCCGAACCCGGGCCACCAGCATCAGAGCGCGCACACTTAACCACCAAGCCACGGGGCCAGCCTTGATGTCACTCTTATGCCCCATCTTTGTATATACCTACTTTCCCCTACCTCGGGAAGCTTCCGGGCTGTTCTCTGGAACCCCAGCATTCTGAAAGTGCAGTGATGGCCTCTGCTCTGGCTCTGTTTCTTTCACCACACTGGACATTTGAAGGACTGTTTCCATCTGGAAACTTATATTCACCACTTCTGGAAAGTCTTCTTGCTTTATTTCTTCGATAATCTTCTCCCTCCCGTATTCTCTTCTTTCTACGATTCCCCTCGATTAGACGTCCGTCTCGGCGATTGATCCTTGGACTTGCTTCTCTCTTCTGCTGTCCGTCCCTTTTGCATTTTTTGTTGTTCATTTGTTAGTTTGCTTGTTATTGTTGTTGGTGTTCCACTTTCTCAACCTTATGTTCTTAATGTTACTGATTGTTTTCTACTATCATAATTTTAATTTCCAAGAGCTCTTTATTATTTTCTGATTATTTCTTTTCTTAAAAAAAAAAAAGCCTGTTCTTGTGTCGTGGATGTATTATCTTCTCTCTCTAAAGATACTTAAAAATTTTTAATATTTTTGTCCTGTCTGCATCATTTTTTTCTTTTTTCCATGGGAGAGAGTTTAATGCAGAGACAGTTTACACAGGAGTGGGCAGGTGAAGGAAGACAACAAGGGATGGGGAAGCACTTCTGGATCAGCAGCAGCACGGAGCAGCGAAGACCTCAGTGCTTGAGCTGCCAGGGAGGGCGGTTACCCGCAGGAGCTGCGACTTCCTCTGCAGGAGGGACCACTGGACAGGAGCTGTAGCAGCAGGGGGTGCGAGAGGGACCAGTGCCAGCCTGCGGCCTGGGAGGGAGGGAGCAGGGTAATTTTTCTGCATCATTTCTGTGACTGATTTTTCTTTTGACCTCAGCTTCCGACGTGGCTTGGCACCATTACTGATCCTGTCTCTATTTAAAATTTCGATATTTTCTTCATCATGGATTTTTTTGCATTAATTTTGACTTTAAAATATTGCCTTGTGCCAGCCCCGTGGCTTAGCGGTTAAGTGCGCGTGTTCCGCTGCTGGCGGCCCGGGTTCGGGTTCTGGGCGCGCACCGACGCACCGCTTCTCCGGCCATGCTGAGGCCGCGTCCCACATACAACAACTAGAAGGATGTGCAACTATGACATACAACTATCTACTGGGGCTTTGGGAAAAAAAAAAAGGAGGAGGATTGGCAATAGATGTTAGCTCAGAGCAGGTCTTCCTCAGCAAAAAGAGGAGGATTAGCATGGTTGTTAGCTCAGGGCTGATCTTCCTCACACACACACACACAAATATATATATATATATAGCCTTAAACTATTCTCTATCTTGATGGCTGAGTCTGTTTGTGCCACCTTACATGTGGCCCTTGAGGCCAGTGCCTCTCTAGCTTCACTCTAATCCCACCCTGAGGTAGAACGTCAGAGGACGCAGCCCCACTCACTTCCCATTCTGCTCTGTCTTCTCCATCCGGCAAAACCCAGGAACCATGGTGGGCTGGTAGAGCAGAAGGCCAGGCCAGACAGGGTACCCTGAGTGAGGGGACACGTGCAGGCTCACCCCTTTACATCCCCCGGCTTTGTTGGGCCATCTAAAGAACTGATACTTGCTCTGGGCCAGACACCATGATCAGAGGGCCATGTTCCAGGCTGTGCAGAGAGAACATTGCAGAAGAGAGCCACAGAGATGCAGACTTCTGGAAGCAATTGTCTGTGGGCGTTCAGAAAGGGCAGTGGGGATCATTAAGGGGCAGTATGGATTCAATAACCTCAGAGCTTAAAAAACAACACCAATTCTCAGGCTCCACCCTGGACTGACTGGTTCAGAAACACTGCAGATGGAGCCCGGGTATTTGTTTCTTTAAAAGTACCCCCATGTGATTCTGATGGTTATCCCGGTGTGGAAACTTCTGATCTGTAACGTTTCAAACCAATTTTAAAATCGGTTACTAGATTGATCACCAGAACATGAGACTTTCTCAGGCACCATGTGGCTGTACTTGACCGCAAGACTTTCACCATTCCTGGGGTTTCGTGGCCCCCTCAGCAGCCACACAGCAAGAGTCCACGTGAAAGAGGAAGGCCACCGTGGCAGGAGGCCCCTCTGAGTATGCTACAGGCTACCCCCAGCTCTGCCCAGAAGATAGGAGGATCAGACTTCCAGATCAGACTTCCGTCTTAGCTGGAAAAGAGTTCAAATGTCAGATCAGGAACTGGAAGACCTCCTCGGCTGGCCGAATGAGAGTTGGCCTCACGCCAGATGAAATTACCAGAATAAATGTAAATACTGGCACTTAAGTTTAAAGTTAGGTGGGAGAGATGTGGCTTAGCAGCAGTTCATGAGGAAAAGACTTGGGGCTCCTCACTGCCTGTGGGCTGATGATGAGTCAGGAGTGTGAAGTGGCTGCCAAGGACGGAGGTGGGAAGCCAGCTGTGTTCATGGAAACCCACGGAAACCCGTGAAACCTGGGGGCCAGAGCTGGGGCTCTGGGGTTACTGTGGGGTATTTCTTGGCCTGAGCAGCAGAGGGGCTTGTGCCCCATCTTAGATGGCTATCTAGAAACCAGAGGAGTCCAGAATGGTTGAGGGAGTGTGGGGTATTTAGCCTGGTATAGAGAAGGTTCTAGATGTGGCTGTCTTCTAACAGCTGCAGGGCTGAGACTGGGGCAGAGGGAGGAGACTATTTTTCTCCATAGCAATTATCCCTTCCTGCACTGAATTATCTATTTATTTGTTTATGTTGCCTGTCCTCCCCTGGAACTGAAGCACCGTGAGACACGGGACTGTTTTTTACGGTCGCCAGTGCCCAGCACGTGGTAGGAGCTCCTTTTGTGAAGGAACTAGAGAAGTAGGGATTTTCCCATCGCCTCCAAAGACAGGGTTGTGGAAGAGAAGAGGTTGTGCCCGGGGTAGTCGTTGGACTCAGTGGCCTCTAAGGACCTCAGCTCTTCTGAGTCTCGGGCTCCCACACACATAAGAGAACGTCAGTGCTTACATCCGTCAGAACATGTGTGCGTCCGCCACCCGGCGGGTCTCGTGCCCGAA